TGTAGGGTTCCAAATGAATTGGCTTATTCGAAAAAAGTCTTGTTCGTTGGAAGATCTATCTCGTGTCTGATACTGCACGGTTTCACTCTAACACATGCGTTTTAAAACTATAAGACTGACGACGATGCGTAATAGATCAAAATGAACTAATATCGGATAGTGGTGGACTTGAGTTGGTACCGATAAACTACTCCATAAGAATTTGTAATGTAAAAGGGAATTGCCAATATGTAGCAATTAGGGGTTTGGTGGTGGGGCTGAAGAGGTACGTAATGGAAGGTACATAATTGAGGGCTTTGCCTCAAAACTCTGATTAGTTTCAGAGAGCTTTCATGTGGGACTCACATGGAACCCCTTCAATTCAATTCAACACCATCCTTATTATTAACCCAAATACTAAAACAATTTCATTTCATTTATTTATTATTAACATTTATAGGTTATCTTTTGGGATGATGTGATTTCACACAAAAGAGTTGCGTTCAACAATCTTGTATCATAGCGAAGTTGGTATAAGTTGTTTGATCTCTTAGAATTATTAATATGTTATATGGTTGTAGCTTTTACTTGATCTTCTACATCAGCAACGAATTCTTAAGATTATTAGTGGGTGAATTTCCTGTGTCGTGAGTAATTCGTGACTCTACAAGTCTGTGTCAAAAGTCAGATAATAATCGTTATCTTCTTGGCTTATAACTGTTACCATGTTAAAACTAGGTTTTACGATGGATCGAGTTATAGTCCAAGTGATGAAATCATTCAAATTTATTTTGAAACATGGTTGGCGTTTTTTTTACTTGAAATATTTGACCAAATTGCATTTTTTTAAAACTTTAGATTTTGAATAAAATCAAGAAAAGGCCAAATGCATTCAAACATAATTATGTCATCTTTTTTTTTTGATAACTTTTTCACTATTAAGTTTATGGATCTTTGGCCTCTTCAATGATACAATCATATTGCTTTGGAATCCAACACTTTTTGACTGCTTTTTTTGTGTTTCTTATTTGTTTTATTGTCCATTCTATTGTAACATTTTTGAGATTGAGACTTCAAATCATCTCGTCATCGAAGATATGAAGGATAAATTATTTGTATATTGTTTGATTACAGGTCTTTTAAAGTAACAAAAAAATGGCGTCGGTTCTTAATCATGATGCTTCTATTTAAAAAAATGTTAATTAGGAAGAAATTATCTTTAAATAGTTATCAAATAGTTCTTATTGTAACTCAGGTGGTTAGAAGTTAGAATATGGATTTGACATTTGATGGTTGGAACATTTTCTTGTATCCTCACAAACCAACGAGTCATTCTAATATGGTTTGTAAGAAAATTTTTAAGAGGTCACCCTGTTGAGAGTTGTCATGATGATTTGGTTCATAAATATTTGGATTCCTGAATGTTTTTGGTATATTCTCCATTTCGATTCATGAATCTATTTGATTCATTTGGTTCATCTCTCACATTGATACATTCTCTCGTACTGGTACATGAATTATCTTAATTCATGTGATTTGCGTAGGAGTATTAGTGTTGCTTCCGATCATGTATGAAAATTAATATTGTTATATTTATATAAAGATTTGTTTAATATTATTATGAGACGTAGAGATGTAGAGTTATTGTCATATTGTGTTTGACTTGACCAATTGAGAGAAACCTTGTTGATTGAAACACAAATCTTCCTTAACATTCTCAAACTTAAAAAAGAAATTTGGTGTTTTTTTTCCCTATTTGTTTTTTAAACATAACATTATATTTCAGAGTTCAACGGAAGTCACTTTAGATGATGGAGATAATTCTTGTTTCAACGAAAAATGAGAAGGGAGTGGTGTAATAGCCCAATCCCACCACTAGTAGATATTGTCTGTTTTGGCCCGTTACGTATGTCGTTAGCCTCGCGGTTTTAAAACGCGTCTTTTGTAGAGAGGTTTTCACACCCTTATAAGGAATACTTTGTTTTCTTCACACACTGATGTTAGATTTTACAATCCACCTCCTGGGATCTAGCGTCCTCGCTAGCACACCTGTTGGTGTCTGGCTCTGATCCGTTTGTAACAACTTAAACTCTGTCGGCCTCACGATTTAAAACGCGTACGTCTTTTAGGGAAAATTTTCCACCCTCTCATAATAAATGTTTTGTTTCTCTCGATGAGAGAGAAGTTTCTCGAGTCTAAAAATAAAAATTATATTCTCCATTTTTATCACCGACCTAAATTTCAAAACGAGAACGAATTTAAAAGTGGAGGAGACGCGGTAGCGTGGAGGGAAGGCAGGAGATGGGCCTCCCAAAGCCATATGATGGGGGACAATCAACTCTCAATCATCTTTACTCAGATGCTCCCTGTTGGATATTCTTAGTGCCACGTCACTCCCCTTGGGCCCCACTCCCCCTCTTTTCAATCAATCTCTCGTGGCTTCAACACAATTATTCTCCTTTCATTATCTGGCTGCCCACTCACTCATGCATGTGTGTTTTCTCCCTTTGAATGCTCAATAATTTCATCTCTCGAGTAACTGTCTAAGTTTATCGTAAATAGATTTTGTTTATTTTATTGTCATCTTCACGACTTTAAAACACGTCTGCTATAAAGAGGTTTCGGGACCCAGCATTTTTGTTGGCATTCGTTCTCATCTTCAATTGATGTGAGATCTCATCGTTTTGATCTAAAAAGTTGTTTTTTTTTTTTAAGAGTGAAAAAATTTGAAGGAAGTGAATGAGAGGGTTAGTGAGTATTCACCGACTTGAATGATCGATTAGGTAGTACATGATCCAAATCTCTTGAATTTTGAAAATGTCGGTCGTGGGAATCCACTGGCTTCACTAATTACCTAATATGATATCGAATGATCGATTAGGTGATACATGATTCAAATCTCTAGAATTTGAAAATGTCAATGGTGGAAAGTCATTCTAATAACCTAATATGATATAATTACGAATCTATTAGAAATGACTTCTCCAATGTTTTAAAAGTGTACGTGATCATGTGAGATGTCATTTCCACTGTGTGGATGTTGGCTTATTTCGAGGGAGATTCGTTACAACCCAAGTTTTATCTATGAACTACAATATTAATCGAGATAATAGCAGCAATTCGAGTTAGTTTGAAAATTTAAATGACGAAAAAAATTATTTTTTAATGTTTTTTTTAAAATGTATTTGAATTTGACATATACCATTTAACTCAATCTTTGTTAGGTTGAGTTAGATTTTTTTTTTTTTTTTTTTAAACTTGAAAACTGAAAATTTGGGTCAATTTGAGAGAACATTTATCGGACCAACCTGACTAGCTCGAGGAAAAATCCTGCTTTTAAGTCACAATTAACTGGTGGTGTCAGTCATTAATTGCTACTTGTAAAGATCTCATATTTGGGTTTCTTGAGATTTTAGTTATTAATATAACATGTATTATGAATAAATATAATTTTTAAAAAATCCGATCACTCAAGTCACCCATTCATGGGTTGGGTTGAGTTGGATTGTGAACACTATCCAAATTGCTCGGTTCACCCATCTAACTAACCAAAAATTTTGAGTTAGTCCAAAAAATTTTCTCAACCAAACCCAACTCGTTTAGACTCCTAATACTAATAAAATCAATCCAAATAAGCTCTTAAACTGGATTAGGTTGAGTTGGGTTATGAACACTATTCATGTTGCTCGATTCATCAATTCAACTAACTCGAAATTTCGAGTTGATTCAAAAAACTTTGTAAACGAACTCCAACTCAATTCCTAATACTTATAAAATCAATCCAAATAAACCGTTAAAAGATGATAGGAGGGAGGGATTGGGAGTGAATTATGGGAGAGAGACAAGGAAATGGAGTGGGAGAAATTTTGTGGATGAATGCACATGAGTGTGGCAGATGGGTAGCAGTAGGATGCTGAGAAGGGGAAAAACTGATAGCCATAACAAAGCTGCACAGCCCCCTTCAATCTGTCTCAGCATCTTCCCTGCACCATTGCCACCCATCTTACCAACATTTTCTTCCTTCCCTTTTCTACTTTTTTTACCAACACAAGCATAAACAGAACTGTTCATGCCTCTTATTCAAAACTTCTTGCCTCATTCTCATTTAGATTATCTTCAAGATTTAGTGCATAAGCTATGAGTATTGTCACTCACAAAGACGTTGAGCTCCGAAGAAAGACGGATTGTACAATCTAACATCCAGGGAAACGAAACATTTTTTATAAGGGTGTGGAAATCTCTCCATAGTAGACGGGTTTTAAAAGCCCGAAAGGAAAAACCCAACAAGGACAATATGTCTACTAGCAGTGGACTTGGGCTCATACCGTTTGTAAACTAGAACCTAAGTTTGATTTGTGTCTATAAATAATACTCTCGTGGCTTGCCACTTATCTTTATTTTCACTATTTCCGACCTCATTGAAAGTTTTTAATTCTCGATTAACAAATTCATTAGTGTTCATTAGACACATGATATGATCTCGGTATACTCATATCTAAGGGAACTATAATGTTCCTCTCTAAGATTGTTCAAAAATAGGATTACAACCCAACTTAACTTAATTTTAAGATTATTACGAAAATTAAGATTATTTGACATTTGTAACTGATATTAGTGGTGCCTTGTTACTTGTAAATATTTGATATTTGAGCGTTATAAAATTTTAGATAACTAGGATTTTATTAAATAATTAAAAAAAAATCGACAAGTCAAACTCTTTCCAACCTGAAAATAAAAGGTTAGGTTGGGTTGAATTGAGTTGTGAACTCTTTTCGGGTTGTTCGGTTCACCAATTCAACTAACCTAAAATTTTTGTCTGAATGACTTCTCCCACCCCACTCAACCAGTGTACTCGTATGCAATTTTAAAAATTATTTATTAACGAAATTGGTTTAAATGAAAGAATGCTAACACACGTGTTAAAATCAATTTTCAAATGTAAGAAGCATTAAATATAAAGCCAATAATGAATAAATTAATATATATTTTACTAATACTTAAAGGGTCTGCTACTACGAGAGAATAAATTTTCTTTAAATTTTCCTCTTAAAAAAATTTGAGGATGTATCATTATTCATACATGGCAGGTTTTAGATTCTTTGCCTTTTGTCCACAGCTGAAATTTCCATTCCCTTTAGAAACTCCAAAACTAAACAAAAATTATAAATTGTAATAATAACTTACAGATTAGGCAGGTGATCTTCCACCTTCCCTTTGTGAAGCAAACATGCTTCTTTTCATTACACATTAAAAAGGAACAAAAGAAACCAAGCCCGGTAACCAGTAACATCAAGTCTCCTCTCAGCTACCGACGACTTCCGTGGTGGAGGTTGATTGTGATGCCTGGTTTTGAGGTCGAGACTCCGGTGCTTGCAACCGAAGCACTCGAATCTCCTCTGGGTGCACTGCGTGCTCGAAGAGTCGGTTCATTCGCTCAAGCAACTGAGCAGCTTTTCGCTTTCCTCTGTCAGTGCCACTGCGTGCCAAATCTATCAATGAACTTACCACTCCAAGATCTCTGGCCTCTACTAGGTGTTGCTCGTCTCCCGAGCAAAGGTGCACGAGAACTGCAGCTGCATTCTCTCTGTTCCTCGGTGATCCTGTACCGATAACATCGACCAAAACCGGTACTGCCTTTGCAGATCCGATGGCAGCTTTCCCTTCGGAATGGCTGGCGAGTATTGCTAAGATGGCTAAGGCTTCATCCACCATTCCTGTTCCAGGTTCAGTGAGAAGCTGCATCAAGGTTGGAACAACGCCAGCTCTTACTGCCTTTCCCTTGTTTCCTTGGTAGATGCACAAGTTGAAAAGAGCAGTTGCAGCATCTTTCTTACCTCTTTGTGTGCCTTCACTGAGCAGCGTGACGAGCGGCGGGATAGCTCCGGAGGCACCGATTCGAACTTTATTTTCATCCACCACTGAAAGGCTGAAAAGAGTGGCTGCAGCATTCTCCCGAGCTTCCATGCTCCCCTTCTTGAGAACGAGAACAATACCAGGAACTGCCCCAGAGGAAATGATGCTTCCCTTGTTGTCCTCACATATAGAGAGGTTAAGAAGTGCTGTCACAGCATGCTCTTGAACACGGGAGTCGGGAGTTGAAAGAAGGCCAACAAGGAGAGGTATTGCACCAGCCTCAGCTATAGCAACACGATTGTCTGCATTCCGTTTCGCAAGAAGTCGGATCTCACCAGCTGCAGATCGTTGATCTTCAGGATTTCCAGATGCAAGTTTGCAAAGAAGAATATCAATCTTTGTGCGTTCAGCAGGTGAGCAAGAAGACGAGCTTCTACAAGGTCGAGCACTACTGGGTCGTTTTGGTGGTTCGATACCATTAGCCTCGCACCACTGGGCTATAAGGCTACGCAACACATAATTTGGTGTAAGAGTAGTGCTTGAAAGTTTCTGTTGTGTCTTCGGACACGTCCCATGCCCGGATTCAAGCCACTTCTCAATGCAGGAACGTTCATAGGTCTACAGCAAAAAAAATTTAAATACATAATCAGCACAAGAGCAACCACTGCCAAGGCATCAGACAAATGTAAAAGGCTTAACATGTCACATATTTCAGTATAAAAAATATAAGCATGAATAATATGGTAAATCAGCAAGTAACACTTACTCATAGACTTGCAATAAAGTACGTAATCCTATCTGAAACTAAGCATTAAAACTACTCCAGCACGAGTATGAAAGTTGAAACATAATCGGCTCCAACTTTAGGACATTATGTGTCACAATCGCACTTTTACGGGCAACACGCCCTGGACAAGCATGACACTATGCACCTAAAATATCTCAATCTTATATTGTTTTTTACCTATCTACTCGTATCTGAAAATATGAGGATGTCATGCAAATAACTAGAGCCGCTGGAAATTATTTGTTATCAACGAGAGAACACAAATGCTTAAGTACCTGTCCAGTTGAGACAATGACAGGATCTCTCATCAACTCCAGGGATATGGGGCAGCGAAAATCATCTGGTATGATTGGAGCCTTGTTATTTTTATCATTGGATATTTGTCCACTACAACTTGCTGGAGAATTCTTTTCTCTACCAGGATCGTCCATTTCAAGGTTCTCCGTTTGCACGAAATCTTTTATTTTCTTCAGCAGCCCTGCCATCTTCTCAATGCTTTGACCTGGATCTCCATCAGTAGCAGTAACCATCTCATGCAAAGCTATTGACTCTTGTGCAAGATCGGATATTCCTAATAACTGTAATTTTTCGGACAGTCTCCTCAGCCGATCTTGATCTATAGAAGAATCATTGCTCGTGTTATAAAGGGCAGAGATATCATCCAATAACTCAGAGTCAGGAACATCGGCCCTGCCTTTGGCTCTTCTGAACTGAGCAAGAACAAGCTCGACCTACATACAGGATTGTAGATGCGTACATAATTATTTGAAAATATTCATTTCAGACTTCTAAACGTTATCTAATATCTAGTAGAGATGAACACAAAGGAATATCTATTCACCACAAAAGGTTCGTCCACATTCTTTGTAACCTTTATATAAGTTCAACTAGTTTAGTACATGATATATTTCATCTGGATCAATAATATTTTTTAAGTTGCGTTCAATTTCTGGACTTTTAACACAGTTATTTCTAACTTTTGGCTTCAGCACAAAATTTACAGTAAGACATGAAAAAATTGAAAAAAAATTGTGCAAGTCCTAATTCAACAGAAAAAATGAACTTCAACTATAAAAATGAAAACTATAAATATACAAAGACAACAATCCCGACGTGAACAAGGGGTTTTCCCCAGGAGAGTTTGTATTTCTCAGCCCTCAGGCAACATCATTTCCTTTGTTAGAAAACAATGTCAACTCGTTCATAGCTCAGCAGTTAGATATAAATGTTTATTAAAGGTTGAGCAATAGTTTTAAGAGTTGAAATTATAACTAAAACAATAATTTCATTGAACAACACTTACAGAAATCAATATAAAGATGTTGCAGATGTTCTAAAAATAGGTTTCCTTATTGCAAATACAAGTCGAATGTCATCCTGAAATGATAGTCGATCAAACCGAGCTAGTGTTATCACCTAACATGCAGGTAGCGTGCCTAGAGACTGTAAATTCAAAGTAAGATGATATAATTTTATTTCTTACCTGCTCTTTAACTTCATCGGATATATCAAGTTTATCGTAGGCTATTCCTTCCAAAGCTTGTTCCAACCGAGCGGTTACCTCATTAAATTTGTTCATAATTTGCTCCCTCTCTATGGCCTAGAATGGATAACAAAATGAAGTTTGATTAAAAGTAGATATGCTAACACATATCTATAATGCTTCAGATGCTCCTTCCTTTTGATTGGAATTAGCAATAGAACTTTGATGCATCATCTGACTAGAAGTTGGAAGTAATTGTATTGTCGTGACGTTAAAATTTCAATCAGATCTATATGCCTGATGGATAAAATCAATTAAGCTTAGCTTGCTCATTTGGAATTGGATTTAAAACGGAAGTAGTTGAATTATAGACATGAATACAAATAAAGTTTAATTATAGAAAGAACATCTACTGGAAAAGGTCATCTGCAAGTGGAAACAATAAAATGGTAAATTTTTGTAACTCAATTACTTGCCAAATTGACAAGGACACGGAATTTTAAGATTTATATCTCTGCCGTTTCATAATGATGTAAATATTATGCAAAAATAGAAACGTCAACTGAATTCCTGTCTTCTAAATCTTTTATTCCTAGCACACAAAAATCCGGACTGAACATAACAGATATATTTTACTGCGTTTTTCAATGTTTAAATTTGCATCGAAAATGTTATTGACCTATAGACACGATAGCCCGACGACAAGAACGACGATTTTCTACTAAATCAATTCAGCAAATACACAATTCTGGAATGAAGGGAGCCAATGTTCACTCGCTTTCTTAGATCAAAGGAATTAGGAGAAGAGAATATTACAAGAAGATTAAGGATTGCGAGAAGCAATTTTATTAAAAAGAAAAAGAAGGAGAACAGACAAACAGCTCAAGATATGTGATTCCACAACCGATACACACACGCAATAACTTATGACTGAAAGAAATAAAGACAACAAATAAAACGCAAACTTACCAGGAAAATCTTGCTCCCCTCGCTTCCAAATCTGAGCAACTTCTTAGCCGATTCGAGACCTTCTTTCAACAATACGAGAGCCTTGAGAGTATCCTCGGGGACTGGCTCTTGGCTATCCCTAATCTCTTCGAACATTGGGATCAAAAGCTTCAATCTCCTGGACAAATTGCAGTACTGCTTCTTGACAGTATGCCTAAAATCCGAGATCCAAGCAATCTCGTTCACTACATCAATCAGGCTCTGAATCAGAGCGCCGTTTTCTTCCTCCATACCACAAAAACTCTCCCAATCAGATCTCACCGTAAAACTCAACTCCAAACAGCAAAAGATCTGCCGAAATCTAACTACAACAGAGATTTTCAAGCTCTCTGCTAGTAGCTTCAGCAGAGACGCTATGAATGGCAAGTCCGAGATGTATCCATTACAGACAGAGAAAGAGGTGGTGATGGTGATGGCGATGATGATGAAGAAACAGTGCTGTGAAAAGGAGATTTTGCTTTAACGTTTCTGGCGCGGCTGAGAGAGAGAGAGAGAGCTTAGAAGGTAGAAGAAGGGCGTATTTGTGTGGGATAGCAGGGCTGGATTTTGAAACGTTAAATTCTGCCGTTTCCGTTACTTCCGCCGTTAACTGTAACGGCACCTAACTGCGGAGGATATGACGACGTCTCTGTTCTGCTGACGTGACTGTTTATACTCGGCTCATTCGGCTTGGCTCTCCAACCCCTCCGTCTTTTCAACTTTTCTATCTCTTTTTCTCGGAATTATAAAAAAAAAAAATTATTAGGAATTTGTTTTTAAAATACTTCAAATTTTTCAAAAATTACTTTATTATTTTTAACTTTCTATAAATATTTTTAATATTTGACTAAAAGTCAATGTATTTCAATATGTCCAATTTTATTTAATTACCTTTTAACAAACTTAGTAATTTACATCCAAATCAATCTCACGTACCACTGCTATTGAGACACCCCGCTCAATCGATATTGGGAGAGACAAAGACGGTGGTTAGTAACTCAAGAGCATACGATGGTTATGAAACTTAATTTATCTAAATAATAGAAAATTTATTTTAAAATATTTAGTCAAGATATTGTAACCGTTTTTGAACTGTCGTAAGTGAAAAAAAAAATGGGTTAATTGGATCCCGTAAAGAATTATTTTACCACTCTAATCTCAATAGTCGGGTAAATGTAAAATTTAGATTATATTTATAAATATTTTATGAATATGATTAATAATGAGTAAAAAATATATATAAAAAAAAGAAAGGTATGAAAGCCTTTATATTATTTATTTATTTAATTAATTAATTAATAATAATAAACATAATATAATATGATATTCGAGCTGGACACAGCCATGAATACGCGTAGCCCTCACCCAAAAACGCGAATAGATACGGTTGGTTCGTGGCTGTGCCTTTGCCAACAATGCTCAACATTGTATTGTCCCACTGACCTTTTCATTTTAATTTAATTCACTAAATTAATAAACCTTTAAATTTTAATTTTCAAAAATATTTAAAAGTGTTTTTTTTTTTTTGAAGGATTTAAAAAAAAATTGAAGTTAAAAGGGTATTTTTGAAATTTTTTTTAAGTTTAAAGGTGACAAAATTGACATAAAGAAATACACACGACATAGTGTCAAATAGCTAAGATGTCTATATTCGAGCATTTAAGCTCTCTAACAAAGCGACCGTGTGGAACATAAATGATGACGTGAGAATAGGATAAGGTGACTGACTATATATATATAATTAGGTCTAGAAAATCAAGTTATTACATAAGACAAAAACGAAAAATTCAAATTCGAAGACAATCCATGCACAATTCAAATAAATACAAGATTCAAAATTTAGATTTGATACCTGATGTCTCGACCTATGGACATGTTTCTTACTTCTCGATTTTAAGAGTGAAAATTATCACCACAAACAAATATGAGTCATTTCAGCATGTTTTGTATAATTGAACCACAAGCAAAATAGGCTTACCTAACAAATTCCTATAATTGAACCACTCAAAAGGAAGATACACTTTGTTGGTATAGGCATTAAATTTCAATTCTTTTAAGCATTTCTTAGTCATTTTATCCTCATGACCCATGACCGCTTTCATTCCAACGTAGTTTCCGTTCATTCCAATAATTTGACTTAATAAAAATAAAATAATTAACCATAGTTAATTATATAAAATAAAATAATATAATAAATTTGTTTTTAGACATTTTATTTTCTCCGTCATAAATAAATTTTTTAACCAAACCGCAGTTTGGTTCCTTGTGGTGGACCACACCCGAACAGAAACGGGGTCCACGTGGAGGGGTGGATAGCGGGTAGTAGAAAATTGGCCGTGAATCAGGCAAATCGGACAATGACATGTGGCCAAATCTGAAGGGACATCAATAAGCTGATTCAGCCGTCGGCTTGGCTCACTTTGCAATCTCCCCTAAGCCGCTTTCCACCACCACCACTGTACGTCCGCTGAGTAGACGCCGTCCGACGCAAATACCCGAATCAGAGGATGGCGATGGTGGGCCATTATTTTAATATATAATTATTAAACAATGGCTCTTTTTTAATTAAGAAAAATAAATCAATTTTATTCTTCAATTGGATTTTTAATTAAATAATTATCAAATTTTAATTTAAATTACGCTGGATTATATTTAAACCTAAAATAATATGTCAAATATATTTTGTTTATTTTAATTAAGATAAGCTTTGATTAAAAATATGGGGTTTTCAATGAAAATGAAAAATGGAGAATATTTGGCAAAATTAAAACGTTCACGGGACTAAAAGAAAATAATAAAATAAAATTCAGGTTGCGGGACCGTTGGTGGGGGCCACAGAATTATTTATTATTTCATTTTAAAAAACAATGAAGGAAATAAAAGTGGGTCCACGTGGCACGAAAACTGCGGCACATGGTCGACGTGTATAAACGGCGTCGTATTATGGGAGTTGAGAAATAAAAGCATTTTATATCCACCGTCGTCGGAGTGAGCCCCACGAAAACGGTACAAGTGATCCGCCGCCATTGGAGCTCGCCCATTCTGAATTTAATTTTTAGTATTAACGTACCTACTTTTTTAAAAAATATTTGAAATATTTAAATTTTAAATTTTATAACCAAGTACATATATTTATTAATGTAAAATCAACCTTCCGCTCTATCTCCTACGATACAGGTTTTTTCAGCATGTTTTATTCTCATTCACATATTCTTAGAAAAAACAAGGGTTCACCTAATATAGGATAGGTTCGTACAAAACACTGTTTAATTTGGAGTTTATATGATTGAGCCATAAAAAAAAAGTGCACGTTGTTGGTGTCGGTAATAACTATCATATTTTATAAGTCTTTCTTATTCATCATATCTTCAAGATCGCTCTTATTCAAATACAGCTTCGATTCATTCATATATCTCTTCGTAGGAAATTTACCACTTCTAACACTTTTCACTGGCCAAACCTCACAATTGAGGAGCTTAGGGTGGAATGGGCTCTCTAAGCCCAATCCTTGTTTGAAAGATGGGTTTAGAAAGCCCACTAAGCCCAAAGGTTTTTTTTCCTTCTAATTAATTGCTTTTTTTAATATTTTAATTACAATAATAATATTTTAGAAAAATAAGCTATTATTTGTCCCTCGGAGTATTTTTTTTAATTTTTTTGAAAATTAGAGAGTATTTTTGAGATTTAAAAAAAAATTAAAGGTCTTCTTCATTTATGAACATTTTTTAAATTGATATTGTTGTCGTAAATTAAGTAGACATAATTCAATAGACAAGACATTGTCGTTGCAAATTAGAACTCAAAAAAGAACCAGAAAACTATCATGTTATTAGGTTAAGATTGAGCTTAACAAGTTACACCTCACCGCTGCCGGAGAAGACGACCGGAGGAGGAGGAGAGATCATATTTTTTCTGAGTATAAAAAAGTAAGAGAAGAATTAGAAGAGTACATTTCTTTCTTGTCTAACCCTTTTGATCTTACTGCTAAGGCCCACAAGAAAATCAGCTGAAAACAAACACTGAATCTCACTAGACAGATCCAGCCAGCAACAAACACTGTCGTTCCACTGCTGCCTTCCGCTTCTTCAACGGGCGAGATTTCGGTTTCCTCGACGCCATTGGACACCGAAGACTGGTCGGGATTTTGTGTTCCAAAGAAGTCCGAGTTTTGAACCCATTGTCGTCGACTTCAACTAATTTCTCTTGTTCTTCTTCTTTGGAATTTACACAAGTCTTCCACTTGTTTGCTTCTAGAACTTTCGATTATGTTTATTTAGAGATGTCTATTTAATGTATGGAGTCGATATCTACGATAATATGTTTCAAATGGGGCAGAGAATTTCGTTTAGATAAAGAATGAGAAAGGGAGTGAAGAGAGATTTCTTCTAAGATCTGTCTCAACCGAGTAGAATTCCATTTTGACAAAGAATGAGAGAGAAAGCACGGAGAGATTTCTTCTAAAACGGGTAAAAAATGTTTTGTTCTTCTCCCCAACCGATATGAGATTTCACCGAATTGCTCCAAGCCACGTTTAAGTATGAAGTTCCTAAGATTGAGCCACTAAAAAAGAAAGGTGCACCTTGTTGGTATTGAGAGAGTAACTTTCATTTTTTTAAAATCTTTCTTAGTCATCATATTCTCAGGATTGTTCTCATTGGAAGATTGGCTTTATTGTTGGTTTTGTTGGATGACTTGTTTGTTGTATGAAGACACAACATGTGTTGTATGATTGTTTGACATGTACTATGTTTCCTAAGATTGGCCTTATGTCCCCTACATGTGTTGTGTTGTATGATTGTTTGAAATGTACTATGTTATGTTTATGCTATGATATATGTGATGTTGCGTACAAGTTCTCTTATCAGTAATACCATGATATGATTATGTTATCGATGTTGTATGATGCATGAACCTCCATGTGCCACCCTATGTAAACTATGTTAATAACTATGCCTTATGCCTATGAGACATTATAAAACCATGTATATTAGTCATGAATAATATGACAAGTATCATGTTTGTATGTATCATAGGAGTGTTATGTCAAGAAAAGAATAGAGGTATAACTATCATTATAAGTATATACGATGTTTGATGTTATAGGATCTCACACATTTTGTATATCATGTGCAATAGAAAACTATGTATATTCTCTATGATATTATGTGAGACCTTTCCCTCTGTGGCATCTAGTAGCGTGAGCTTGTACTAGCTTGATTAGCCAGACTTAGATCTACGTATGTAAGTCCACTTGGTGGGTCCATGTGAGCGCGTGTCGGTCGTGTATATGAAAGTACTACACATCCAACCGTGTATGAACTAGAAGGCAGAGTCGAAAAACCATAATGTTTTTATGAAAAGATAGGTCACATCATGATTACTTGTGTCTGCATTTCTCAACTTCAACATATGGGCTACTTAGTCTTTTTAAATACTCAAGTCATATACTACGATAAGGTACCCCTTGTACGGATGACGATATCACTGTGAAAGGCATGAAAGAGAGAAGTTGGGGTAGTTGCTTCAAGCTGCATGATTAACTTTGAAGTTCTTA